TCTTCACAAATAACCTAATTATTCTTAATTCAGATCGCCCCACACACTTTGACGTGCGCACACAATCCTTTTCATGCCTTGACCTCTCTCTGTGCTCTCCTACTTTACATTTAGATTTCCATTGGTCAGTTCTAGACCACTTCCCATATAGTGACCACTTCCCAATACTCCTTTCTCTTACTTCATATGTACCACTTCCTAATCCTCCACGCTGGTGCTTTGATAGAGCTGACTGGCATACTTTCACTTCACTTCTCTACTATACCTATCCCGCCACCCCCTTACCGTCCATTTCAGATATGCTACATTGTTTTACAACCATGATCCTAAGAGCTGCCTATACAGCCATTCATCGAACTTCAAGACCTTATACCTCTAAATGTGTTCCATGGTGGAATTCTGATTGCACCAAAGCGCTTCGCTTAAAACGAGCAGCCTGGAACAGCTATCGCTACAAACGAGGCACCCCTCACCAGCTATCAGCCCTTATTTTCTTTAAAAGAGCATCTGCCCATCTTCGCCGTACAATTAAAAACAGCAAAACAAATAGCTGGCAAAATTATGTTTCCTCAATTACATCTTCTACATCCATTTCAGCTGTTTGGCGACGGATCCATAAATTATCAGGCAAACATCCCCCCCATCCTGCACCCGTCCTCCATATTCGAGATATTCTCATCTCTGAGCCTGTCGAAGTAGCTAATGAACTGGGCAACTATTTCAGCCAGGTCAGTAGTGGCTCTCACCTTTCCCCACACTTTTCTTCCATTAAAGCCATCAAGGAACACACCCCTATTACCTTCCCCCTATCCTCTGATGAGTCCTAAAATGCTCCTTTTTCTTCTTCTGAACTCAACGCTGCATTACAGTCGTGCCGCAACACTCATGAAGGCCCTGATGGTATTCACTATCGTATGCTCCGACACCTCCCATCTTCCTCTCTATCCTTCCTTTTAACTATTTTCAACCACATATGGACGTCAGGAAATTTTCCTTCTCATTGGCGAGATGCTCTTATCCTACCTTTCTTAAAACCCAATAAATCAGGTACCCTACCCCAAGATTACCGCCCCATAGCTCTAACTAGCTGCTTGTGCAAACTACTAGAACGAATGGTTAACTTCCGTTTAATGTGGTACCTTGAATCTCATAATCTCCTTTCCCCTTCCCAGTTTGGTTTCCGACATGCCCGAAGTACAGCAGACCCACTTGCCCATTTCGAGACATACATTACATCGGCATTTGCACGCCATGAATCCATATTAGCCATATTCTTTGATCTAGAAAAAGTATATGACTCCACACGGCGATACCATATCCTCCAACAATTGTCCTCCCTAGGTTTACGTGGAAACATGGGCGTTTTCATTAAATCCTTCCTTTCTAAACGTACTTTCCAGGTCAACATTGCCTCTTCCACGTCATCATCCTTTCCTCAATTCGAAGGCGTCCCACAAGGAAGTGTGCTTAGTACCACTTTATTCCTTCTTGCTGTAAATGACATAGTCTCAGTCCTACCACCAGGAGCCCGAGCATCACTATATGTTCATGACTTAACCATCTATGCATCTGGCACATCCATACCAGATCTCTGTTAATTCCTTTAGTCTGCAATAACATGGCTTTCACTTCTGTATCTCTAAATCTTTCCCCATCCTTTTCTCTCGCTCATGTACAGTCCCCAAATCCCCACTCTTCTTATATAATGCTCCACTCCAATACCGTTCTTCTGGCAAATTCCTAGGCGTTATATTTGATTCCAAATTGTCCTGGCGAGACCATATCTTGTACATCAAAGAAAAAGCTCAACGTCGCCTCCGAATCTTACAAACTCACATATCTCCTGGAGCTCAGATCGCAAAACTCTCCTCCATCTTCATGTTACCTTGATTCTCTCCACTCTAGATTATGGATGCCATATCTACTCCTCTGCCTCAACCTCTCTTCTTGCTCACCTTGATACAATCCACCACAGCGGTATCCGCTAGCCCTAGGCGCTTTCCGCTCCTCTCCAGTTGAGAGCCTATATACTGAATCAGGCATGCCGTTCCTTTCTCGACGTCGAGCCCTTCTCTCTCTCCGATACTATGCTCGATTTCACCAATTTTCCCTTACCAAACTAACTATTCCACAATCCTTGCTTCATACCTTTACCTCTTCTCCACGTTTACCAACTCCTCTCTCCGTACGCATGGATACCCTCCTCTCCCATTCCCCCTTCCCTCATCTCCGACCTCTCCCACTGTCTGTCCATTCCATTCCTCCATGGCTTATACCTAACCCCTGTATTTACTCCTGTTTTCCCTGACCCACCAAAATCAGATATTTCCCCCTCTATCCTTCTCACTCATTTCCTTGACCATGTCTCCATTCATTCCTCCAGCATTCATGTTTACACTGACGGTTCCAAATCCATCTCAGGAGCTGGATTCGCAGTAACATTCCCAAATTGCACTTTCAAATACACCCTCCCTCCTGAATCTAGTGTCCTTACTACAGAACTATATGCACTCCTTTTTGCCTTAAGAAGCATATACTCATCCACCTCTTCCTCTTTTACTATTTTTACTGAATCCCGTAACTCTTTAACCCTCATAAAGTCTATGCACTCGACCAATCCCCTTGTCTGTAAGATCCAGAACTGGTTGTTCTATCTATCCACACATCACAAATCTGTCAGATTTTGCTGGGTACCCAGCCATGTTGGAATCCCTGGCAATGAACGGGCAGATACTCTTGCACGCTATGCCGCAATGTCCACATCATCTCAACAACGCTTCTCACATATTCCAGCTACGGATTACTACCCCCACTTTAAGACCTTCTTTTATACCCGATGGCAATCTTTTTGGTCAAGACTCCACAACAATAAATTACATACCGTAAAACCATCAATCTCCTCTTGGTCAGCTCCATTTCACAAAAACAGACATTGGGAGACGGCCCTCACATGATTACGTATTGGCCACACTCGCCTAACACATGCCTATCTGATGTCACGCTCAGACCCGCCCCTATGTCCTCTATGTAACGTCCCTCTTTCAGTCCCACACATTCTCTTGTCTTGTCCACGCTTTAATACTGCACGTACCTCTGCTTTTCCACACCTATCCTCCCTTCACCGACCTCCCAATATATCAGACATCCTTACAGAATCCCACAGCTTCTGCCTCGACAACCTGTTCTCCTTCCTCAGACGCATAAATATCCTTCACTTGATCTAACTCCCTTCCTAAACCACCATAATCTTTTCCCTCATCTTCAACCTTTCAACACTATTTTAGATAGTTGACACATAGCAACTATCACCTGACATCCCCCTTTACTATACCTTCCTATAGTGCTATATGACCTTAGATATCTAGCACATTTATCTTAACCATTAACCATTAACCATTTGTTGCCTTTGAAATTCTAAAATTCCCCAACTCCAACCAAATACACCCTCCCTCCTGAATCTAGTGTCCTTACTACAGAACTGTTGCGCATTCACTATTTTTACCGACTCCTGTAACTCATTAACCCTCAGAGTCTATGCACTCGACCAACATGTTGGGAGACAGCCCTCACACGCTTTTGTACAAGCCACACCCCCTTAACACGTGCCTATCTAATGTCAAGCTCTGACCTACCCCTATGTAATGTCCCTCTTTCGAGGGAATTCCACACATTCTGTTGTCCTGGCCAGGCTTTACTACAGCCCACACCTCTCCTTTCCCCCACTTATCCTCCCTTCACCGACCTCCCAACATAGCAGACATCCTTACAGAATCCGAGCTTCTGCCTTGACAACCTGTTCTCTTTCCTCAGACGCATAATATACTTCACTTGATCTAATTCCCTTACCTAGACCACCATACCCCATTCCCTCATCAACTCCCTTACCCATCTTTAACTTTTCAACATTACTCTAGATCAGAGGTCAGCAACCTTTGACATGAGTGCCAGACTTGACACACACATCGCTTGTCTATGGCATGACATGTGACTCAGAGGAGCAAAGAAAAAAGTTAAACAGCAAAATAATATGAGAGAGAGAGAAGAGAAGAGAAGAGAGAGAGAGAGAGAGAGAGAGAGAGAGAGAGAGAGAGAGAGAGAGAGAGAGAGAGAGAGAGAGAGAGAGAGAGAGAAGAGAGAGAGAGAGAGAGAGAGAGAGAGAGAGAGAAGAGAGAGAGAAAGAGAGAAGAAGAGAGAGAGAAGAGAGAGAAGAGAGAGAAAGAGAGAGAAGAGAGAGAAGAGAGAGAGAGAAAGAGAAGAGAGAGAGAGAGAGAGAAAGAGAAAGAGAAGAGAAAGAAAGAGAAAGAGAGAGAGAGAGAGAAAATATCTTATTATTATGGTCCTACCCTCAGCCCCCATCACAGCAGGCTTACAACAGTGTGTCCACATATTATGGCGAGCATATTTGGAAAATTATAAATATTTATTTTTTGTTACAAAGAATACTAAATCTCCACGAATATTACATTTATGTTATGCATGTGCAGGAAAATACACTTCGGTATACTGGCGCACTATGTTCAAAAGGTTGCCGGCTCCTGCTCTAGATAGTAGACACATAACAACTATCAACTGTCATCACCCTTTACTATACCTTCCTCTAGTGCTATATGACCTTTGATGTCTAGCACATTTATTTCAATTTTAACCATTAACCATTAACGAAGGTAAGGTGATCCCTACATTGAGCCTCTGTCTCTGCCCCCTAAGCCCTTCCATGAACAACAAGCAAGGTATTGGGAGGGTTAACTTTTCTATAGGGTAAATTATAAGGTAAATTAAGTCATGTATACTTTGTTTAAAATTCTAACAAATCCCTAAGTTCTAAGTATAACTGTGGTGCTTAAATTTTGATTTGAGAAAACAATGCATTTGATTCTTGTACATGTGTATTTTTACTATAAGCAGTAATTCAAAGGCAATTCAAAAGTTCACAGTGATATACTGGTTTACTTTTAATATTACTACTTACTAACAGGAAGGATCAAAATAAAAACTGCAGCTAAACATCTTTGTTTACTAGATTATGAAAAAGAATTTCATTGACAATGAAGACATTTCACAGGCAATTTCCACATCAGTCTTGAAGCCATTAGCTAAATACACGTGTAAACTGGTTTTCATAGTACATCTGTTCCAAGACCAACAATACAGATTTATCTTATCATAACTATTGATAAACAGTATTTACTGGAAATAGAGGAATGTGAACAGAATGCTACAAGTAAAAAAATGCAACCAAAATTCTTTTGTGAAAATAGTTGAGTATACCTACATCCATTATCACATAACCAGAGACCTGATACTAAATCTAATGACTGATTATTAGTGGCAGGAAGTATCACCATTATCATTATTAGACTAATATTCTCCACCTAGAGATTTACATACTAAGAAATTGAGACCGCTGTAGCTGCTTAGCTCCAAGGCAACCTGCAAAACATTTCATGGTTCTGATCCTCCAAAATAAACGGCAGAACCATGAATGCAGCTAAAAATACCATTGGTACTATCTAGTAGTGCCTTCTATCTTCTGGTACTCCTGAAAAAAGTACTGCTCAAGAT